TCTTTGAACATCTTCCTGCACTTCACTATTCCACCACCAGGTTTCCTGATCATCCATTCTCTGTCCAGATGACGCACCAAGTACCTTCCTACCTGTCTCTCTAATTACTGTTGCTGTAGTAGTCCAGTCATCTGGAAGCTCTTTCTTACCACCCAGAGCCTTTAACAGCTCCTCTCTGAATTTCTCACAACATTCTTCCTTCTTCATCTTCCACCATTTGGTCATCTTCTCTGATTTGACTCTTTTTCTCTTCTTCACAACAACAGTCATTCTACACACAACCATCCGATGCTGTCTGGCCACGCTCTCCCCTGCCACAACCTTACAGTCTCTAATCTCCCTCAGGTTTTGAGCATCAACATCTGACAGACATTTCTGAAACTCTGGGATGTATAATCTTATTCCCGCTTTGTGGTTTTAGAGCCATCTGTGTAAAATTTAAGAAAATTATTATTATTTTTTTTTTTCATTTAGCCTTTATTTATCCAGGTTAGTCTCATTGAGCCACGAGAACTCATTTTCAAGAGAGACCTGTTTAGGGAGCACATGGTGGGGGTTAAGGGCCTTGCTCATGGACCCAGAGTGGGGCGAATGAGGGTGGGGGCAAGTGTGGGTGTTTCACCTACCCCACCCACAATTTTGATGTTGTCGGGGCCGGGGCGTGAACCGGCGATCTTCGGATCACAAGCCCACCTCTCTAACCTCTGCGCCACCACTCCCCCATAATTATAATAATAATTATAATAAGAACATCTGAGGTACATGCTGGTTTTCACCCCTACTTCATTTAATTTCCAGTCTCCTTTCATTTCAAGAACTTTCATATCCACTTTTATACCTGGATATAACCATGGAGGAACAGCACTGACTGGATTATTCTTGGAGAATTTGGGGTTATCTTCCTCGTACATTTTTGTCCAGTTTTTTCTTGTTCACTCAAACCCATTCCTCTGAAACTGGAGTACTCCCAGAAGCTCTGAAGTTTCTTTGTTACAGGTTTTTCTTCTTTGCTACCTTCAAGTTTTATCCAGTAATAGTGTTTAATAGATTTTAGTCATCGTTGTACTCTCCTTATTTCTAATGGAGTCTCTCCAGTCTCTACTAATAGAGCATGGATGGGAGTGGTCTTAGTTGCCCCGGTACACTTGTAATGCCCTGTTTTGTAATCTTTGTTGTCTTTGCTTCTGATTCATATACTATATCCATAATCTAATGCTTATCTCATGAGTGCCCTGTAGATCTTTAGTCATGACTGCTTATCAGCTCCACTATCACTTCCAGCCACCGCTTTCAAAAGAGTTATTACTTTTGTACATTTTGTTTCTAACTGATGAGTTTTCCATGTGTAAGAGCTGTCTAACACAATCCTAAATATCTGAGTTCTGATACCATCTATAAAGGCTGTTCATGTAATACAAAGTAGTTTTTCTATATTAATCTTTCTTTTATTTGTAATAATCGTGTAGCAGGACTGACTGAAGCGTTTCATTTTAAACAGCTCTGGGCCTACACATAAGACAGGTCATGCTTTAGACCCAGGTGTAGTCTACGCGACACGCTGGTATATGGAGTATACCCACTAGAAAAGCTTAAGAATTCCAGTATACCCACTTAAAAGTGCCCAATGATACATGACATATCACTGGGCACGTGTCATTGATACGTTAAATGGCAGTTAAACTCTTCCATAACAATCTATCTGTATGCAGCACTTGTTTATTACATTTGCTTATCCAGCAAATTATTGTATAATTCTTTACTTACTACCTAATACTTGAACACGTTTTGCTTTGATACTGTTTGATAAATTCTATAACGTTTTTATACAAAGCCAACTGTTGTACAAAGTTTGTTGTCCATTTATTCAAATATAAGCATCAGAGACATTTGGAAATGTTCAATATGTATAAAAATCTAAATAAATTGATGATTACATTGTACTAACCAGTGTACTTTGGTTTCCAAGCACAGTATACCCACTACAAAAATGTAGACTACACTACTGTTTAGACCTCGTCTTCTCTTTTGGTCTCATCACTGACCAGCTGAGTGTTGTGGACGTTCCTGTCTCCGACCACTGCTGTGTGTGTTTTAATGAGTCTTTCAACCTCTACAGTTGTCCTCATAGAGTCCTCATAAAGGTGAATTATCATCAAACTGCTGCTGAGAAATTCTCAGAATTGTTTTGTTAGTTGCGGTGAGGCTGATTCCTTTGGCGAGTCTTTTCATACTGTCTGTCTTAGATGGTTGCTCCTGTAAAGCACAAAATATCCTCTAGTAAGAACTCTTGTCCTTGGAGGAATGAGGAAATTATGTTGTTGAGGAGATCATGTCGTAAGGTGGAGCGTTTGTGGAAATCTACAAAACTTGAGGTCCACAGACTTAAACTTCAAGGAGCTGATCTCAACTCTAAATGAAATGATTAAACAGTGTTGTATATTTTTCTAATCTTGACTATAAATATGAAAAACCCAAAAGTGTCGTTTGATACCATTAATAACATGGTTTCACCTTCACTCCCTCTGGTGCCTGTATTCACATTAGATGACTGCAACAGATTTTGAAACTATTTTGTGGAGAAGGTTGGCAGTATCAGGGCAGGTGTTACAGCAGCTGTCTCTGCAGTGACCTCTTGGTCCTCAGTGACTCCTGTCACTGTAGAGGACGTGAAGGTTGTTCTAACAAAGATCAAACCTTCTTCCTGTGTGCTACATGTTGTACCCACGTCACTGTTTTTAAAGGTGTCTGATATTGTCCGCCCATATGTTGCTGAATTAATTAACTTCTCTCTTTCAACCGGGTCAGTTCCATGTTTTTTGAAACAAACCGTTTTAAGTCCCATTTTGAAAAAGTCCAACTTGGACCCCACTGAGCTCTGCAGCTACAGACCAATATCCAAACTGCCTTTTCTCACCAACAGTCTGGAGAAGTCAGCGGCTGAGTGGGCAGCAAGGTAACATATTCTGGATAAGTTTCAGTCTGGTGAAGACGCACTCCACTGAAACTGCCTTGTTAAAAGTCCCTAAAGACAGACTGATGGCTGCAGAGTCTGGTCAGAGCATTGATTTATTGGATCTGTCATCAGCCTTGGACACAGTCGACCACAAGATTCTGACACATCGACTGCAACATGAGTCAGGAATCTCTGGAACTGTTCTCAAGTGGCTTTCCTCTTATCTGAGCAACAGAACCTTTTCAGTGTTTGTGAATAACATACAGTCTGAGACCACTCCGTTACTGTAGGGTGTTCCTCAGGGTTCAGTCTGAAGTCCTATTCTGTTCCTTCTATACATCAGCCCCCTTGGAAAGATTATCAGTAGCTTCAGAAATGTGTCTTACTGTTTCTATGCTGATGACATTTAGCTGTACTGCTCCTTATAGAATCAGAATCAGAATCAGATTATTATTGCCATGTCAATGAACGAGGTTCACAAACTAGGAATTTGCTTCGACACAAGGTGCGAATAGTAATAAAGTAAATTAAAGTAAAAATGAAAACATTACATAAGACATAAGACCTGTGTACACCCACAAATAAAGTAAAAATAAAAACATAACATAAAACATGTGTACACCCATACAATAGAAAACAGAAAAAAAGGTTAGAAAACAGTGACTATGACAGTAACATGACTCAGAATTACACGTTAGCTGAATTAGTGCACTGTGTCTCTCGTATTAAGGTGTGGTTAGATAACAACTGCCTTCAGTTAAATCTAATAAGACTGAACCCCTGATCATTGCTCCTGGACAGAACGTTCCTCGGTTCTCTGGGCTCCTCTTCTCAGCCGAGCCTCAGAACCCTCGGTGTTCTGTTGGACCAGTCGATGTCGTTGGACAAACATTCAAAGCTTCTGGGAAAAACCTGTTTTTATCATCTGAGGAACATTTCTACCCTGAGAGCAGTGTTATCCAGATCTGACCTGGAGATTATTATTAATGCTTTTATTTATTCTCATCTAGATTATTGTAATTCTCTTTTTACTTGTTTTAACCCATCTGCCGTCTCCAGTGGGTCCAGAACGCTGCTGCGAGACTTTTAACAGGAACTAATAGAAGGTCTCACATCACACCAGTTTTATCTTCTCTTCATTGGCTGCCTGTTGAAGTTAGAATTATTTTAAATATTTTAGTCTTAACTTTTATTCCTTTAAATGGACAGGCCCTCCAGTACATCACTGAAATGTTGATCCCTTATTCTCCAGCCCGCACCCTTCGGTCTTCAGCGCTGATCCTCCTAAAGTTCCTAAGACCCGGTTTAAAACTCGAGGTGACCTATACTTTCAGGCCGTAGCCCCCGACTGTGGAACGCTCTGCCCCCGTCTCTCTGTTGATTCCGTTAAAAAGCAGCTTAAGACACTTTTATTCAGACAAGCTTTTAGTTAAATGTTTTATTTACTGTTTTTATTAATCAGCTGTTATTGTTTTATTTGAAGGCTGAATTTCTGTAAATCACTTTGTGATTGTATCTATGAAAAGTGATTTATAAATAAAGTTGACTTACTTACTGATAACTTGAAACCCTATTCATATGACCATTTCTCCAGTTTATTAACTGCTTTCTTCATGTTTTCTACACGAGTGATACATTTCTCTCCTTCATCCATTTGGCTCCATCATCTGCATAAAGGGCTGATTTAATACATTCATCTAGAGTAGAAAAAATGTCATTAATATTCATATTAAATAGGACTGGGCTTATTACGCTTCCTTGTGGTGTGCCATTTTCCAATTTAAAATCTCTTAAAAAATCATTTCCAACTTTTTACTCTTATTTCCTGTCTGTAAAAGTTACTATCCAACTCTACATCCTTACACCTGTTTCCACTTGTTCTAATGTTATGAGCAAACCTTCTCTCCACATTGAGTCCTGTGCTTTGTCTATGTCAAAAATACAACCGTGGGGATTTGTTTTCCTTTTGCAGTTTTATGACACTAGATGGTGCCAACAGCTGTGGACCTCGGTTTTGTTTTTTTGAATGTCCAGAGGACCAGACTTAACTTTTTTACATTTTTCTACCTGGATCATTGATCATGCATCAGGACAGCTGTGGACCTTTCACTTGCTGAGCTGCAGGAGCATAAATGGCAGCTGATGACTTCACTTCGACACTGGTGCATTATCTGCCTGATGGTAGTTGTAGTTAAAACTTCCTGGTGAAGGCTGCGTTGACCTTTGACCCGAGAAAACACAGTGGACCAACACCAGCAGATGACATGGCCCCAAACCGTCACTGACTGTGGAAACTTGACACTGGACCTCAAGGAACGTGGATTCTGTGTTTCTCCTCTCTTCCTCCAGACTCTGGGACCTGGATTTACAAATGAAATGCAAAATGTACTTTCATCAGAGAACAGAACTTTGGACATGTCATCTGTTGGTGTTGGTCCACTGTTTTCTGAGGTCCAAGGTCAACGCAGCATCTACCAGGAAGTTTTAGAGACTTCCTGCTTCCTGCTGCTGAACAACTTTATGAAGATGCAGATTTCATTTTCCAACAGGACTTGGCACCTGCACACAGTGCCAGAGATACCAGTACCTGGTTTAAGGACCATGGTGTCCCTGTTCTTAATTGGCCAGCAAACTCTCCAGACCTTAACCCCATATAAAATCTATGGAGTATTGTGAAGAAGAAGATGTGATGCACCAGAGCCAACAATTCAGAAGAGCTGAAGGCCACGATCAGAACAACCTGGACTTTCAGAACCTGAGCAGAGACACAGACTGATCCACTCCATGACACGATGCAGTGATCCAGTGATCCAGACACAAGGAGCAACAACTAAGTACTGATGCTGAACATGATCATACTTTTCATGCTCATACTTTTCAGTTGGACAACATTTCTAAAAATCATTTTTTTATTGGTCTTAAGTAATATTCTAATTTTCTGAGAAACTGAATTTGTGGTTTTCATTAGTTGTCAGTTATAACCAACAACATTAAAATAAACATTTGAAATATATCAGTTTGTGTGTAATGAATGAATATAATAAAGAAGTTTCACTTTTTAATGGAATTACTGAAATAAATCAACTTTTTCATGATGTTCTCATTTTATGCCCAGCACCTGTAAGTTCAGTCCCTTTATCATTTATGTCCATGTCCCTGTGATGGACCTGCAAACTGTGTTTTGATTATATCATCAAATGGCCTGCCATACCCAGTGTAATCTTCATCCAGTTATTTGGCAGCAGCTGAGCATCTGTGTGTATCAGACACTTTAACGTTCGCTCAGACTAATATCATGTTCACTTGCCAGCAGTAGCTTGAAGATGAGATATGCAGCAGTTTTGATCACATCAAGGAATAAAGGGGAGTTCCTCAACAGAGGAAGTGCTCTCGTGCTGCTGTACCTTCCTCCTGCAGAAGAGAGGGAGGAGGACGAGGAGAGGGAAACAACACCTGGACTGACTGAAACCATAAAAGTAAGTTCATTCAACTCCTTCAGTCTGTTTTAGACGTGTTGATGTTTGTTTTTACTTTTCCAAGAAAAAGATTTCCACAAACATTTCCAGTACTTCCTGTTATTCATCAGAGGAAGCAGAAAGGACAAAATGTCAACAGTCCTGTTTCCATGAAGAGACTCGTGTCTGAGGCGTCAGAACAGATCATGAAGTCAGAAGAGTTCTTCTCTGAGTTTATTTCTGAGTCAAGTCAAACAAACATGTTGAACAAACCAGTCTGCAACATAACCCAGTTTAAATGTGATCGTATTTAGTACTTCAGTGTGGTCAGCACCGCTCACATGATAGAGTCAAGACTTTCCATGACGTGTGCATGTTCACGGTGGCCTGACCAACACTCCCATCAGAGGCCACAGAACCTCTCACTGATCTCCCACAGCTTCCTTGATGCTGCATCATCCTTGGCTTTAGCGTAGAGTTCTCTCACTGTGCAGTTGGAGAAGTAACGCCCACTCAGATGTTCGATGCCCTCCTGGAGAGCACAGTGCAGGGTGGTCTGCGATCCTTGGATGGTGTTCTTGAAGAGAAGGCTCTTTATGGGTGCCAGTATTAATTTTGAAATGATGCTTATGTCCCTGGTCAGCTCAGTGCTGATGGCTCCTGCAAGAAGATAAAGGAGGTTTAGTTGCCTGTTCTTGAACTGGTATTGTTAGAATGGTTCTTTGTAGCTCCTGTCATGTCCCAACACACCTGAAGACGAAGGTGGATGATGGGTGTGCCTTGTTTTACAACGTTCAAAAGTTCCTCACAAGCATGATTTTATGTTTGGTTAATATGTAATCCTAAATGTGTACAGAGTCAAGTGTGCAGTCTACATATTAATGCTTGTTACTAAATACTTGTTTGTTACTGAGGTTCAACAGTAAGGAAATACAACCTCAGATGAATTACAGTGTGCTTCAGAAGAGTATTAGAAGAGCTTATAACTTTCTTTGTACCAAAGATTTATAACAATAACTGAAAACCATGAGGTCATGGTCCTCAACTGGAAAAGGGTGGATTGTTGTCTTCAGGTCAAGGGTGAAGTTCTGCCTCAAGTGGAGGAGTTCAAGTATCTCAGGGTTTTGTTCTCAGTGAGGGAAGAATGGAGCGTGAGGTTGACAGATGGATTGGTGCATCATCTGAAGTATTGTGGATGCTGTACCGGTCCGTTGTGGTGAAAAGAGAGCTGAGCTGTAAGACAAAGCTCTCTGTTTACCGGTCGGTCTACGTTCCTCCCCTCACCTCTGGTCATGAACTCTGGTAGAGACTGAAAGAATGAGATCAGGAGGTTGAAATGAGTTTCCTCTGCAGAGCTGGACTCTCCCTCAGAGACAGGGTGAGATGTTCAGTTATCAGGAGAGACTCGGAGTAGAACCACTGCTCCTCCACATCCAGAGGAGACAGTTGAGGTGGTTCATCTGGTAAAGATACTCCCTGGACACCTCCATAGGGAGGTGCTTCAGGCATGTAATGATTTGTTAAAGAAAAGGAAGAAAGAAATTTAAAATCTGTACGCCTCTTTTATAACTGTTTATTGTTGTTGTTGTTGTTGTTGTCCACTGTTGTCATCACTCTTTGTTAAAGAAATCAGGTCTCTCTTGTAAATGAGTCCCCGAGACTCAATGGGATTAACCTGTCTAAATAAAGGTTGAATGAATGAATGAATGAATGAATGAATGAATGAATGAATGAATGAATGAATGAATGAATGAACGTCCGACTGGGAGGAGACCTCGAGGAAGACCCAGGACAAACTGGAGAGACGTAGTCTCTCCAGTTTGTCCTGGAAACACCTTGGAGTCCTCCCAGAAGAACTGGAAGAGGCTGTGGAGAGAGAACTGTGGACCTCCCTGCTCAAGATGCTGCCCCCGAGACCTGAGTCCAGAACAAGAGGAAGATGATGGATGAATGGATGATGGATGGATGGATGGATGGATGGATGATGGATGGATGGATGGATGGATGGATGGATGGATGGAAACCATAATGAGTAAGCACTAATGTACAGCAACAATCCAGTCCAACCAGTGCATTTTGCTGGTTAAGACTCGTCCACTTTTGTTAGGATCTAAATGAACGTCAGGCAACACTTGTCCTGGTCTTCAAACAGTGTAAACAGAGAATTGTGTTTCTTTAGTTCGTTCCTCACCTGGGTGCAGGGAGTAGCAGGTGACCCCGGTCCCCTGCAGTCTCCTGGCCAGCTCATGGGTGAACAGAACGTTGCACAGTTTACTGTCAGAGTAAACCATGAAGCTTTGCGTCGAGGACGTCCTCAGATCTTTGTGGGAGTTCAGGCAGTCGAAGTCAATGCTTCCAAAGTTGTGTGCCAGGGACGCCACGTTTACTACCCTGCTTGGTCCACACGCCTTCAGTCGATCCAGCAACAGGTTCGTTAACAGGAAGTGACCAAGATGGTTGACGCCAAACATGAGTCCAAATCCGTCTTCAGTTCGACCCTCCATGTAGACTCCTGGGACAGAACACAGAGGAGCCTTAGACCTTTTACTTAAAATGTTTTAACATCTGTAAGGATTCATGGATCCATGTGCGCTGAGAGAACATCCAAACACAGAACGGGCTCAGCTGCAAACCTGCAACACTGTTACTGTGAGACCGCAGCACTAACCACCGCACCATCGTACCGCACTGTAAGAAACCAAAGCATTTCAAATATGGCAGAAGACGAGGTCACACATGTCACGTGTATCTTCAAACACTTAAAAGTAAAAACTTAAAGAATCTGTTCACCTGAAGTTTATAAACTTCACTGTGTTTGCTGTTCCTAAATCTACCAGAATGTTATTAAATCTACCAGAATGTTATTAAATCT